AGCCGCCGCCGCCACAGCCCCTGTCTGTGTGGCCGGGCAGGTGCCGAGCGCTGCGGGTCTGGGCTGGGCAGCGGCTGAAGAGCCCGGTCAGGTTGACCTGGGCCCGCCCCGAGGCCTCCCCCCTGCTGTGGCCAAGCTGCCCATCACCCGGCCCCAGCCAGTGCAGGGCTGTTTTGCTGTCCATTCTTTTACCTCCAGCCAGAGCTTCCGTGGGGGCGCCCGCCCGCTCCATCAGGCTGGCGGGCCAATCCTTCCACGCCCCTTGGTATGAACCTGTGGCCCTCGCTCCCTTCCCTGTTGTCTCTTTATTTCTCCCCAATTTGGTTGTTCTATCTCCAGCTTTTAGTGTTGCCCCGTGACGCAGCCTAGCGTGTGCGCGGCGGATGCCATGGTGCTCTAAGCTAGGGATGCCTCAAGGTCCGACTTCGTCTGTGTCAGTGCTTTCCTGTTTTGCCTTGTCCCGTGTGGAGGTTGAGTCCGAAAATGAGGAAGGTTCAGGACACGGGTCCAAGCGATGTTGGTGTCTTTATTTTCATTGTCATCATAAGCAAATAGACTGGATCTTTATTCTGTTTGCGCAGTCCGGCCGTTTCAGCAACAGTTGGGTTTGTTCTGGTGGATCCATCTCTTCCCTTTTTCCACTTGGCAGAACATATCGACCGCAAGTCTTCTAGACATTTTCTGATGTTACAGTTAAGCATGATCAAAACAAAATGCACTGTAGTGAACCAATGAGGAACTCTTTCCTTATGACAGAAGACAGAGCAGGTGGCATCCTACAGACTAGCTCTTTCAGAAATGCACAAGCTCATGTGCTTCTGAACAAGGTAGTTTTCTAAGGTGCCCCCCTGCCCTGCCCTCTACCTTGCTGCAGCATAACACAGCTAAGCGTATCACTCCTTTCTGTTTTAATGAGAGTCAGAGTAAGTTGAGCAGATGCTCTTTCTAACTACCAATGGACATCGATTTCATAGATTTCATAGACATCAGGGCTGGAAGGGACCTCGGAAGATCATCGAGTCCAGCCCCCCACCCAAAGGGCAGGAAGTCAGCTGGGGTCATAGGATCCCAGCAAGATAAGCATCCAGTTTCATCTTGAAGGTGTTCAATGAAGGCGCTTGAACCACCTCCGGTGGCAGGCTGTTCCAGACCTTGGGGGCTCGGACAGTAAAGAAGTTCTTCCTTATGTCCAGCCTGAAACGATCTTGAAGTAGTTTGTGACCATTCGACCTCGTCATCCCTTGGGGCGCTCTGGGGAACAAACGTTCCCCCAGATGCTGGTGGTCACCCCTGATAAACTTGTAGGTGGCCATCAGATCACCCCTGAGCCTGCATTTTTTCAGGCTAAAGAGCCCCAGGGCTCTCAGCCTGTCATCATAGGGTCTGCTTCCCTGACCTCTGATCATGCGCGTGGCTCTTCTCTGGACTCTCTCAAGCTTCTCCACATCCTTTTTGAATTGTGGAGCCCAAAACTGGACACAGTACTCCAGCTGCGGCCTCACTAAGGCCGAGTACAGGGGGAGAATGACGTCCCAGGATTTGCTTGAGAAGCATCTATGGATGCAAGCCAGCGTTTTGGTCGCTTTACTAGCCGCCGCATCGCATTGCAGGCTCATGTTCATCTTGTGGTCAGTGGTGACCCCCAAGTCTCTTTCTTCCATAGTGCTAGCCAACATAGCACTGCCGAGGCTATAAGGATGCTGCGGGTTTTTTTTCCCAAGGAGAACCTTGCATTTATCGGCGTTGAACACCATCAGATTCTCATCCGCCCACTTGCGGAGCCTGTCCAGGTCAGCCTGGATAACCTGCCTGTCTTCTGGTGTGGATGCTTTGCCCCAAAGTTTGGTGTCATCGGCGAACTTGGCCAGTCCGCTTCTGACTCCAGTGTCCACATCATTAATGAAGATGTTGAACAGTATGGGTCCAAGGACAGAGCCTTGGGGGACCCCACTGCTCACAGGACACCCCGATGAGTGACTTCCATCGATTACTACCCTCTGGGTCTGACCCCGGAGCCAATTTTCCAGCCAGTGGATCGTGGAGGACCCAAGGCGACAATTGGCCAGTTTCTCCAAGAGGCGATCATGGGATTTAAACAGTGAATAAATGTTTGAATTAAAAATATTCACGGACTTTTAATGAGAAATAAAGGTATGCCTTCCAGAGACTGATGAAAGTATATGTAGTACGGGTGCAGTGATAAAGATTTTCATGGCTGATACTGATAGCCCATTAATCAGCTGTATCAGCTGATACCGATCCAACAACAGATATTAACTGCGGGTTGAGTCACGCTGAGCTGGGCTGGGCAGCTCAGTTCTGTCTGTCCCTCCCAACCCCAGTCACATCCGTGGCATTCGGTGCCTTTTACAGCGCCTGCCCCAGTCCACAGCAACGCCCGGGACACTGCAGCAGCTGCTCTGCTGCAGCCTAGCCTGGCCTGCTGGTGAGGGGTTGGGGGTGTATCTGGGGTTGCCCCAGCTTGTGGGAGGGAACCCAGGTGTTTGAGGGCCCTGGCCCTACCGGTGGGGGGGAACCCAGGCATTTGGAGGCCCTGGCCTAAAGGCATAATTATCGGAGAACATTATTCGCTACAATGGCCAAAAAAGCCAATAGCCAATAATGTAAATTTCCCTTTTATCGATGCTGGTCCAATAGGCAACAGATATGTTGGTGGACTTCTAGTATGCAATGGTTTTAAAAATGAATTGGGTCCTTGGCTTAAATGATTTATACTTAAAGCAAGTGGTGATAAACAAAGGGGTGGGAGGGTGGGTTAAAATAGTGAATGGTAAGCACAGCTTAGACCATCTGCATTTTTACAAATTCTTCCCTTTTTTCTTCATGTAGTGTAAGAATTTGGAAATACAGTAATGAATAGAGGATTAAAAGATATTGCTAGAATGCAAAACTGAAAGCATTGAGCTTTTATGAAAATATATTTTTGCAACTAAAATAGCAAATCTGTTTATGTATGGGTTCAGGCAACGATGCATTTGGAAGGGGACTAACAGCACTAGGGTTTGAAGGTTTCTGTCAACGAAATGTACTGCCTGTGTAGGTCTTTACATTCTTCCTATTCTTCAGCAGAAGCCTGTCACCTTCCCACACCTTGTATTTCAGCAATGTTTCCCCTCCCACCTTTCCCTGTATAGTTTTGTGTGTAAAGTGCTGATGTGAAAACATGCTATATAAACTTCAGAAGTCAAGGTTGTGCTCTGAATTTACCATCTAAAATGATGGAGAAAGCATAAGAAATAGTGGAAGGAAAGAGGCGCCGGGGGGCGGGATGTAGAGAACGAAGGGAACACTTAAAAAAAACCAAGCGGTTACAAGACTAGGTAGATGCACATTTTGAAGGTTATCTTTCTTTAAAATAGAAAAATAAAGAATGCAGGCTTCATCAGAGCACAGGTCATCTACCTAGTCTCCAATTCCTGTTGGACAGTTAATATAGGTGGTTCTTTTTCTATGTTTTGATGACCTCATGTTCATAGATTCATAGATGCTAGGGTCAGAAGGGACCTCAGCAGATCTTCGAGTTGGAACCCCTGCCCTGGGCAGGAAAGAATGCTGGGATCAGATGACCCCAGCCAGATGCCTATCCAGCCTTCTCTTGAAGACCCCCAAGGTAGGGGAGAGCACCATCTCCCTTGGAAGCCCATTCTAAATTCTGGCCACCCTTACCGTGAGGTTCTTCCTGATGTCTAGCTTAAATCTGCTCTCTGTCAGTTTGTGACCATTGTTCCTAGTTACCCCTACAAGGAATGTTGCACTAGAAGTTTCTGGTAAATTGTAAGAGAGATTCCCACGTAAAAAGGGAAGACGATTTACCTCTAAAACGGAGGAGGAAGGAATGAGGAGTAGAAGTTAACAGCCTGTGAAGAATGCAGTGACTGACTTTATTCAAGTTCTGTGTTAGTTCTAGTTTCCTTGCCTATTGCTTCCCCTACCAAAATATCTTACTTGAACTTGAATGGTGGAAGTGACATTGGTGGTTTGGGCAACTTTTTTTTTCATTGCTACTCCTAGATCCCTAACCAATATTTATGCATCCTCTTCTTGAAAACCTGCTATGATGGAGAGTCCACAGCCTCCCTAGTCTGCTTTGTACACTGTTTCACTATTTTAGCAGTGAAATTTTTTTTCCTGATATCCAATCTAAATCTGCTTTGCTGCAGTTTCAAGCCAGTGCTCTGTGTTGTCATGCTCTGTGCAGCAATGAAGAAAAGGTTTCTCCCTTTTCTGAAGACTTCTGTAATTTGCCCTCTTCATTGCCTTTACTGCAAGCTGAACATGCCGACTTCTTCCAGCCTCTCCTCGTGTGGCTTGCCTTCCAAACCCTTAATCTTTTTTGTTGCCAGTCTCTGGATCCTCTCCAACTTCTCTGCATCCTTTTTAAAGTGCAGAGCCCAAAACTGCACACTGTACTTTAGATGAAGCCTAAGCAGCTTTGAGTAGAGCAGCACCGTCATCTCTCTCTTATACCTAAATGCTCCTGTTGATGAAACCTCATGCTGCATTTTCTGTTTTTACAGCTGAATCACATTGCAGGTTCATACTGAGGTCTGCTAAGACCCCAAAATCTTTTTTTCAATGCTGCTGTTTATTGTTTACATTGTAGCAGAAATTTAATGAAGGATTTGAAAGCGGAAAAAATAATTTGTTGAAAAGGGAGATAAGGAGGAATTTAAAACATTAGAGGAGGATGTAGGGGGTAGTTCTCAGTGGAATTTTTGCAGGAGGTGTGGAGAATGAGAGATGGAGGTAAAATTGTACATTGTCTGAAATATAAGGATGAGAAGTTACAGGGGTACAGGAAACCCTTGCCATTCGCGTTTTCAAATATTCGTACCTCAGATATTCGAACCCATGCTCTCTCCCCATACACGTTCTCTCCCTGCATGCTCTAGCCATGCTTCCACCCCCTAACACCCCACTGCTGACAGTGCTGGCAGCGTCCGTGGGGGCTCTGCGCTTGCCACCACCATGCTCCCGCCGCTGTTCATGAACGTATTCATGGATTTCCCCATTTTCAGAGATCCCTAGAATGTATACCCTGCGAATGGCAAGGGTTTCCTGTATAGGTTGTAGCCATGTTGGTCTAAAGGCATAGTCAGACAAGGTTCTTTGGGTAAATGTGATATTTTTTATTAGACCAACTAAAATAGTTGGAAAAAATCTTCTTTGCCAGCTTTCGGGTATAAATACCCTTCATCAGGCAGATGCTTTCTCAGCCTGATGAAGGGTATTTATACCCAAAAGCTGGCAAAGAAAAGTTTTTCCAACTATTTGAGTTGGTCTAATAAAAGATACAGGGCGGAAGTTTTGAAGTCTGTTCACCTGAGTGCCCCAAGGAATGACAAGATCAAATGGTCACAAACTCCTTTTCGACTATTTCAGGCTGGACATAAGGAAGAAATTCTTTACTGTCCGAGCCCCCAAGGTTTGGAATAGACTGCCGCCGGATGTGGTTCAAGCACCTACTTTGAACGCCTTCAAGACACTTTTGGATGTTTATATTGCTGGGATCCTATGATCCCTGCTGACTTCCTGACCCTGGGGCAGGGGCCTGGACTCAATCCTCCGTGGTCCCGTCCAGCCCGAATGTCTATGAAATCTATGAATGTGAATTGGACAAGAGAAAGCCAGACAACCAAATTGCAACAGAAGTAGCTAGTACAGACTTTACTGGCCTTTTACTCATTTTGAAATTGCCCTTCTGTACTCTCTGTAGATTTTTCTCAGTACCTCTCTATCATCAACTCATATTTTGTAGCAAGAAGAGGCGAGAGGTTGTCTTACAAGTTTGAAGTTGTGCTGAAATGGGACTCTTGCCTGGGGTCAATCTCAAGTGGCTGTACATTTCGTCTGTGCTAAGAGACTCCTTTATTCTCTCTGCATTGCCTTTTTCCACTTGCTGTCATTTTCTGACTTAGACTTTTTAGCTGGGAACCAGCAGGATGAAGTAAGGTATGTTGCCTAGTCAGAATGGGGGCAGGGAGAAACTGGCCTAAAGCCCAGAGCTGCTCCATACAGGGAGGCAGGCGAGCTGCATGAGGTCATCAGCTTACAGGGAGGAGTCTTCCAGTGTGTGGGAAGTGGGTCTAGGGAAGGAAAAGGGGGATACTTTTCACCAGGGAAGGAGGAGCAGAATAGGGAGAAAGCTTGCACAGTTTATTTTACTTCAGAGTGAACATGCAATATTTTCCACTTTAGAACAAAAGAACACTTACATTTAACACTAAAAAGCTGTTTTGATATACTTGTATTAGAGATTTATTTACAAAATATGTTGTACTTATGTTGTTCTTACAGATGGAGAGATTTTTAATTGGAACAAAATGTATTTTGAAAGTTAGAATTGTGACAGCATTTACCATCTGAAATCAGAATAGAAAGCTTTTGTGTTATCTTGGTGTTTAAGATGTATTTCTAAGCAGTAAGAGGATTTAAAAAATAGCATAGGTAAATGGAAATGCTACATCACAAGTTTCTGCTGTACAGAAATTAATTTTTCAGTAGCATGCTAAAATGTTGCTGTGGAATGATTCTGTTTCAAAGAATTCATTAGTATTAACATAATAAAATTGTTTTTAATTTTTTCTGACTTCTTTGAGGAGGGAAACCTTAATATCAAATGGATATAGATCTGTTACTAACAGCTTAAAGATATTAGCTTTGGTGCTTTTCTTTAGTTCAAGATAATTTTTGTTTCTTTGAATGTCATGCAACTGTTGCAGTGCATGACGTACAGAAAAGATTTTGAAGAAAGCTTCCTGAGGATCCTCACTCTTTCTAATTTTTCCTCAGAGTAACAGACACATTTTCCCCCCATTTTATAATCTCTTTCCTTTCTTGTGTTGCTTCATTGTGCAATGTGTTTCCTTTTCATCAGCAAATTCAAGAAGGCAGTGCACTCTATTGTTTTTTATTAGTTTATGCTAGTTCATGGATTAAAGTTTGGTTTAGCTGCACCTGAGGAGCTTACAGCGCCCCTTTGGAGCAAGATATTGTTTTCCAGCCAACTTTGTGCTTTCCTGGTGATTTACAAAAATGATATTTTCTCCATATTTCAACTTGGGGATTGCTGCCTATGCTGTAGCTGACCTGGATGCTTAAAAAGTTGTTCAAAACAAAATCTCCAAGATAGTTTTTATATCATTTTGGCAGTATAGTTATTGTATGCTTTGTGGATCTTTAGCACAGGGCTGTGTCACCTGGTCTGTAGCCTTGCCCATGGGGCTGGAAATTGATGGCAACAGTGTTAATTGCTGTGGCACCAGGAGTCATGGCTGCCATTGCTCCACCTGCTACCAAATTTTCGGCCCCGTGGGCAGCCGCATGGACCAGATAGCACAGTTCCAGATCCAGCCTGTGTGGCTTCCCAAGGGGCTGGAAATTTGGCGGTGTGATATGTAACAGCAGTGTTAATTGCTACAGCTA